CTGTGCCCTAAGTTCGCTGCGATCTCGGGAAATTTCTCCGCACGGCCGCGATGGGGAACGCTCTCCCCGCCGCCGCGCTGCCCAGCGGGACCCAGCGCCCCGCACAAAGCCGTTCCTCCGTGCTCTGGGGGCTCCGCTTCCCCCAGCGCACACATCGCACCTTTAAGAAATGGGCAATGTTCTCTGCAGTTGGCTGAAACAAAACCCAAAACGCGACGCCCGCTCCGGCGCCCCTCATCGCAGCCCGAAAGGCAGCACCGAAATGCAACTTCCCACGTGCGAAACAAAGTTTGCAGTCGAAAATCCCGGTTGTGGCCCCGAGCAGCCGCCACCGGCCCGGAACAGCAGCGGAGCAGCGCGGGGTTCGGGCAGCGCTCGGGCAACACCGGGGCCGGCCGGCTCCGCGCGTGTTTACATTCCTGGAGTGGCTCGAGCCCCGCGCTCCGCCCGCTCCGCTCCGCAGCGCCGGGCAGCGCTTTCCCCGTTCCCCTCGCACAAAGGCGACCGGGCGGCGAGCGGCGGCCGGGCCTCCCCCCCCACCCCCCGGCCCCTGCCCCCGGCCCCCTCCCCTCCGCCCAGCGGCTTCCTGGACAGATGCACCGGGGGGAGGGAGGGCGGCAGCGGGAGGAGGCGGGGGGCCGCTCCTTCCTCCTGCCTGCCGAGAGAGGCCCCGGTCCCAACTGGCTTTCAAAACCCAGACACAAGGAATTTCCACCCAGGCGAGCTTCCCGCAGCACGGAAAGCGGCCGCAAGCTCCCCCGCGCGTCTCCCCGGCCAAGCGCACGCCCGCGGCCCCGGGGCTCGCCGCCCGCCCGCCCCGACGGCGCTTGCCCGCCCGCCCGGGGGCAGCCGCCGCCCCGGCCCCGAGCCCCGGCCCCTTTTGTTTTGGCGGCCGGCGGCCCCACGCCGCGGCAACTCGTCCCGGTGCCGGGCCCCCGCAAGGGCATTCCCGGCGCGGGGCCGCCTCCCCGCCGCCAGGCCCGGCTCCCCGCCCGCCCGGTGCACCCGCGGGGCGCTCCCCGCCCGCCCCATTGTTCGCGCTCCGCCGAGGCGCGACCCCTGCCCGGGCGCGGAGCGCGGGCGGCCGCCAAACTTACCTCGGCTGCACGGCGCGGAGCGGCACGCCGGCTCCTCTCCCCAAGTGCCGCACAGCTCTCCGGGGGGATTTTTGAATAGGTGTTTTTTTTTTTATTCCCCCCTTTCGCCCTTCTCNNCCCCCCCCCCCCCCTTTTTTCCCTTGCCCACAGACAGTGAAAAGGAGCTCAATGTTAGTGGGTGAGTAAGTGAATCAACTAGCAGAGAGCACAGCAAGTTGAAGTGTCAAATTACATTGGCTATTCTATTACCAAAGGGCCATGCTTTGTGGCTGCTGGCAAAATCTGTCCCAGATTCCTATCTGAAAGGGAGCTGCCTCCCTCCTGCGGGGACGCTCTTCCCTCGCCCTCTCCCTTCCCCTCTGCCCCCACCCGCCGAGCACCCGGAGTTAAGCTGAGAGCCGAGTTAAAACACAAATATTGTCTTACAGCGGGTTTAAGGCGGGGAGTCGCGTTTAAGCCTTCCTGAATGGCACGCACGCACGCAAAGAAGAAAAAAAAAAAAAAAAAAAAAGAGAGAAAACCCTTCCACTCTGGAAACTGAGAGCAGGCAAATATCCTCCCTGCTGAATTGCTGTTATTAAATAAGGGGAAACCACCCCGCAACGAGAGCGCTCCGGAGCGCGTGGTGCCTCCGAGTGCCGCGGCTCGTTGCGGGGCCGGGGGACCTGCGGGCGGGCGGGCGGGGACCGCCGCCGTCCCGCGGGGTTCACCTCGGCCCCGGCCTCGCCGCCACCCAGGTAGGAGCGAGCCGCGGCCAGGGGGGTGCTCGCCCCTGGGGGAGGGGGCGGCCCGGAGCAGGCGGGGGCAGCAGGGCGGGCCGGGGAGGCGGCCCCGACGGCGGGGGGGCGGGCGGCCCGGGGCGCCGACAATGGGGCGGGTGTGGGGCCGGGTGGGTGGTTTTTTCCTGCTCCCGAGGAAACCCAGCGCGATTCCCAGCGAGACGGCGGCGCGGCGCCGGCCTCGGCTGACGGGCGCCGATCCGCTGATCCGCGCTCCCCCCACTGACGCCCGCTCGCAGGGACCTTCCGCGCTTCCGACGGCCGTTGGTGCGTCCCGCACACCCACCCCGCTCCAGCGGGGCTCCCACGTTCCGCAATTAGGAGACGCGAGCGAAGCAGCGGCCCCGCACCGCCTCGCTGCCGGCGGAGGGGAAAGAGCCACAGAACGAGGGGAGGGAGATTCTATTTTTTTCCTTCCCTCTCCCTACTCCTTTCTCGCTGGCGCCCGCCCGAGCCGAGCCCCGCCGCAGCCCGCGGCTCCCGTCCCCGGGGCGCCCCCCGCCCGCCCTCCTTCCCGCCGCTCCGCGCGGCTCCGGCTCCGCGTTTTGCGTGCGGCCGCGGTGTCAGCCGGGGAGCGCCGAATAACAAAGGCAACTTGGAGAGCCGCCGCCGCCGCGCGGCCTGCCAGTGACGTCAGGGAACAATGCCGCTGCCAGCCGGCCGCGCGCACCCGCTGCCCCGCGCGCGCCCCCCGCGCCCTTAAAGGCGCCGCGGGAGCCGCCGGTCCCCAGCCGCCGCCGTGCCCGCCGCTGCGCGGACCCAGCCCGGGGGAGCGGGCGGCAGCTCTGCCGCGGGGCTCTCGCGCCCCTGCAGCCGCACGGCTGTCGGCAGCACCGCGCCTCGGCGCTACGCTCATTTGCAATTAGCGTCCCGTGAGGCAGCAACGAGCTGAGGTGTCACAACCTCTGGCTCAGACAAAGACGGGGGCGGACGGCGGGCTTGGCGCGTCGTTGCTCCAAATCGGCCTGAACGATAAGGTTGGCCATTAACCGCAGCCCCGTGCGTGGCCGCAGTCAGTACGGAGCACAGCCCGCCCGCAGGTCGGTGCTCCCGCCGTCGGCCCGGCTGCGCAGCGCCGCGGGGCCGCCCGGAGCGGCACAGAAGCGATCGCCACCACCTCTCTCCGCGGTGCCCGAGGCGGGTCTGCCAACCTCGGCCGTGCCACACAACCCGCGGCGGGCGGAGACACCGCCCCCATAGGATCGCGTGTTAAAGCAGAACCTCCCCCCGCCCTCAGCCGCAGTTGAAACGAATTCTACTGCTATCGTAACTCATACTACGACCACACACCGGGATGGAGCTGGTGAGGTAGCGCGCAGGCTGGGCACGCGTCGTGCCGGGTGAGCGCTCGCAGCTCGCTGAAGCGCGGGGCTGCGCTGCGGTGCCCAGTCCAGGGTAACCCAGAGGAGCGCAGCGTGGGCTGCGGGATGACGCACCTCTCCTGCAATACGCACAGGCGACTGTATGGGCAGCGCTGATTCCCTACCGCCGCCTGACACCGACAGCGCTCTCCTTCCTTCCAGCTACCTGTGGCATAGTGTCAAGGCCCGGTGCTGCCCTTCTGAGCCCTCACTCGACGCCCATCCATCGGGCAGACCGCTGCTCCCTCCTTGCCGCAGCCCGCGGGTCTGTCTCACACGGAGCAGTTCAGCTGCTGCAGCCCCAAACCGAAGGAGGTGGCGTCTTCTCCTGGTTTACTTACGCAGAGCCACAGAACATAGCCACATTACATGAAGGGAGACAACCTAATGGCCAAGTAGGGCTGCAGTCAGGGTGTACACATTTCACCACACGCAGACAAACTTGTATAGCGTATTAAAGTCTATGGCCATTTTAATCTCTTAGAGGAAAAAAAAGAAAAGCAGGGTTTATGTGAATTCTTTAATTAGACATGAAATTGCCATGCAAAGACTAAGGAAGTATGTGGTTATGCGACTGGAGGCCTAGAGGAAAAAGTAAACAATTTTACTGAGAAATCAGATTGAAAACAATCATGACATTAAGAGGAAAGTGGCTAGAGGTTTGGGCTCTCTTTTTTGCCCCCTTCCCTTCTGAAACCTAACAACATCTCCAGGTCATCTTCAATTTTATCCCTCTTTAGTGTTTCTCAGCATGCACTGCTTCAGTACCATGGTCATTCTTGACCAGAACTTGGTACACAACTCTGTACAGGTGCTCCAGCATTAGGAGCTGTAGCATCAGCACTTTTCTTGGTCACTAAGAGAACGCACCTCATCTGAGCCAAGCCCTTATTTATGCCAAACTTTTGCAAGTTATTTAACATGCCTAGAAGCCCCAAACCTGCCATGGTGTGCTGCTGAAAGGCAGTTGGCATGACCAGATGCCTAGCCTTGCACATACCATGGCTCTGGGACCACCACCAGGCAGCTCGGTGCCCAAGGCTCTGCTGGGCATGGGTTGTCATTTGTGTAGCACCAGCACAGCATCATACCAGCCCTGCCTGACATACCATGCTAGGTTAAGCAAGGCAACTTGGCTAGTTTGGCAAAGGGAACAAAGCCTTTAAAAACGTGATGTGGTGAGATAGCATTAAAATCCAGGATGTGTGCCTTCAAGAGTCAAGGACAGCTTAAAACAAAACAAAATTAAAAAAAAAAAAAGCAAGAAGAATAGGAAGAAAATGCACACCACGTGATTATAAGTTACTGAGAAGGAACTTCACATGTGAGCTGAGGAAATGCAGCATTGTAAACGCGCTATTTATATAGTGCTGAAAGTGTACTTTTACAGGGACATAAATACTCTTCACCCCAGTGCATATAATCTGCCCTTCTGAAGCAGATCAAGACAGTGCTCTGTTAGAGCCAATTCAGTCTAAGTTCAAAAAACAAGCAAATCTCAACTTTGAGAAATTTCAAACCAAAATTTGGTTTGGGCTGAAGTCACTCAACTGGTCCGTGGGTCCGTGCCTTGCCTATAAAGAAAATGATCTTCCAAACACTGAAGGATAGTAGAGACTGTGATAACTTCTGTTATTAAACTTTTTTTTTTTTTTTTTTTTAAAAAAGAAGCTGCATCATACAGATTCAGGAGGAAAAAATTACATGAAAAAGGAAAAACTTTATCCAAGCTTTAACTTCAGGGAATGTACTCAGGCAGAATATAATTAGCAAAGCACTTTAATTATCTTCCAGCTGCACGCAACACCATACTCTTGTAAAAGAACACCCAAGGATTTTGAATGACCACAAATAATGCAATCACATAACCTTATGTAAAACCAGACATGCACATAACTACCCTGAAATAATTTAATTTAGTATGTTAGCAGAGCTGTCCATGATGTGGATTCTTGTTTCACAGACAGATAGCAGTATTTATTCTACCATTTGACTACCTACTGCCTGATTTTGATAATAAATAGGGTTGTTTTCTTTTTTAGCCTCAACTGAATTTTAATAGCAAAAGATCATGAGAATTAAAGAACAACAAATGCAGCCATTTGTAGAGCATCCATGCTGAGGTCCAAGATCTACTTCTGTTTCTCCCCTTGTCTTCAGCTCTTACATGACTCAATCATGAAGAAAAGCTGTCAAATGCCACCAGCACCAGCTGGAAAGTATCTTGGTTGAACCCTGGTCTGAGCTTATGTGAGAGGTTTTAAATGAGCCAGCCAACCAGCATGGTAAGAGACCAGCAAGTAAAGTGTTATTGTGAGGAAAGCAAGGACTGCTTCAAATCAGACAGAGCTTGCCAGAACATAATGGTGGCTTGTAACACAGCTAATCATGCTGAATAAAACAGGGCTTTAAACACATTCAGGACTAGATTCTCAATGGATCCTTCCATTTAGCATGTGGCATATATTTTTTTTTCCCCCAACCAACTGTATTTTGTACCACAAGGGATGGTTAATACAATTTTGAAAAAAATATTCATAAAATATGAATAAATAACCATAAGTTGTTTACGCAAATAAACATTCTGGGGCATGGGATTTTATTCAGTAATTGCCATATCGGTCATAAAACATGCCTGAGAGCCCAAAGTACTACTTTATTGCATTTAGCAGCAACAATTAGCCTCTCAATTTTTCACTGTTTTAACAGACACGATGGCTTTCTACTGTGAGAAAAGGTTAAAAAAAGCAAAAAACAAACAACCAAAAAGCAGGCTCTTCTGTACAACCATACGCTCCATAGGCTTACATGCAAAAAGCCCGAGCCACGTTTCATGAGGCAAAGGAGACAAACAGGCAGCAGACCATTTTCCTTCCTACATAAGGCAGTACCTAGAAGAGAAAGAGCAGTGAGGAGTTTTGTTGCAAGACTCTCTCAGAGGTACCACAGACAATTCCTTGCAGCTGAGGACCAGAATAAGGGCAAAACTGGAAACAGTAGGAAAAGGTCCTTAATGCATCACTTGCTCTATTCCACTGTCCACAAACCAACAGAAGTAGAGAAAATTTCCAGATAACAAGAGCCCAGAGAACTACTGAGTCAGTACATCTAATGCTTTCTTGATGGCTTAAGTCAAATTTGCCCAGAATCCTGGGTTTTGCTTAGGTTAGATATTAGGAAAAACTTCCTCTCTGAACGAGCAGTAGTGTATTGGAACAGGCTGCCCAGAGAAGTGGTAGAGTCACTGTCCCCAGAGGTGTTTAAGAAGCATGTATATATGGCACTTACAGATGTGTTTTAGTGAGCATTGTGGTGGATGGGTTGACAGTTGGGATTGATGACCTTAGATATCTTCTTCCAACCTTAATGATCCTATGAATTTTTACACTGAACAATTTCTGTAAAACAGAGAGCATAAGTTTTGCAAGAGAGAATATTTGTGAGCCGGAACATTTTTTCTTTGCAGAAGATTAATCAAAATAAGTCAGTCATTTGGAAACTCTGTAGTAGATATTCAGGTAGACACAGCCAACACAAGGCACAAAGTCACATCAAGAGGACTTGCTTTATAGAGACTCTTGTAGCTCCAAGACAAGAAAAGTACGGCTGTGACAGAAATTGGGGGATTCCACTCAGGTGAACTGCAGATGTGAGCAAAGACGCATATACTGATGTAGCACAGTTACCTCACCGTTTGGATAATTAACCCATGGGTAATCAAGTATTGATGGCATCGCACTAACAGCAGAAACTATGTCCTAGAAACATTATTGGGAATATCCATCCTGTATTTTCACCTCCTAGAAGTCTGATTTGGACAGCTGACTGACCTACTTCCAGCACGTCACTGCTCCCAGCATGCCAACTCTGTTCCTAAACACATGGTTGCTTCCAGCAAGGGAGAGAAAAGCAGGACAGGGTTACAGATGTTCCTCACACATACAATCAACACAGCCCTCCCCCACCAAAGTTTAATAAGGATTGTTAGTACATCATTGTAGCTGGTAATTGTGTAGGTACACATGGTAATTGCATGTATTTGCACTAATTATGTAAATGCACAATAATTAAAGCTCCAGGGTTTTCATGGTAAATTTTTAAAACACTCATGGATTTGTCATGGCAAAAGTGTCAGTCATGTAACCTAGTGCAGAAGGAAAGGAAGAGGAGGCTCAGGAGTGCACACTTCTTGAATAAAAACACATAATTTCGCATGAGTAACTGAAGAGAGGATACTATTTTATCATCAAACAACTGTCATGCCTGGGCACAACTTCTTGCAGACGCTTATCAGTTAGAATAATAATAATTAATTTAAAAAAAAAATTGGATTTCATGGTAGGTCAGAGCTAATGCTCAAGTACTCCCTGTCTTTTGGTCTCCCCACCCACCCTGCACAGGAGGACTCAGGACTTCCCTCCCCTCTGTGCTGCAAGGATAAGCAGGTCTCTGCTTGGTGGGCACAGAGGGGCCTGGGGAGTTCAGTGCTCCTTAACAACCGCAGCCACAGAAGGAAAGGGAGCTTTGCAAACATGCAGCACACATCTCACTGCAAGGCATACAGACCAGCAGCATGGCTGGTGTTCAGCCCCATAGTAGCCATCACACAGCTCCCAGAGCAGCCTCACTGTGCTCACAGGGCCTGCTCAGTGGGCAGTGTGACAGAGGGCTGTGACATGGAGCACCCACTAGATGTTTCACACTAAAGCTGGCCACTCCAGAACACACTGTAAGGTTTTAATCACTTCAGCCACATGCTGCTTTTATGGGTGATACCTGCACTCATGAGGCTTGCATCCCCTGGGCAAGCACCAAAAACACCAACCTGACTTGTGCTTAAGCAGAAATATACCTCCCTGTGCCACCTCATTGCAGGTGTTCTTGTTGGCCCACACAGCACCTCTGCAGCATTGCTTGCTCACACACAGCTTCCTCAGGACCACTACAACCAAGAGCCAACACGAGAGCTTTAAGCTACCGAGGCCAAATACCTTAAGACAAGACACAAAGGGGAGCTTCTTTGGGATTTACAACACAGCTTTAGGAGGATTTAGGAGACTCACAACCACACAGTTACTTATGTAAACCTAAGTCTATATACATAGATCAAAAAACCAGACCAAAAAACAAAGACCAAAAAACCACACACGGCAACTACCTTCACTGTGCCCCAGCACATTCCACATCGTTCAGGTGTTGCTTTCTTTCAGTCATTTCTTTGAAGACACATTAAAAAAATTAAAGCTAAATTAAAACATAGCAAAAAACTGCATGATAAAAATCAAACAAATCTAGCAATACAAAAAATTATTTTAAAAGCAGATTTTAATTGTTAGCATCCAATTAAACAAGAGAAGCTGTTTTGTGTAGTGACTGTTTTCAACTTCATTTCTAAGAATGGACATATTTCCACAATTTTTTTATTTCCCATTATATAATCAATGAACATACGGATGTTTAATTAAGAAATATACAGGAAAGTGAGGCTAAACAGGTTATCAGACCAAAGAAAAACAGATGGAAAGCTTACCCTTGTCCTAAGCTTACTGAGAAGACTCCAAGAAGAGCAATCTAAAAAAAAAAAAAAAAAAAAAAGCCACTAGTAATCAGCTCTTAAATGGAGTCTAAGAGAGGTAGAGCCAGGCTCCACTCCTTCGAGTAGTACAGGTGAATTACCTTCACCTGTGCTCCCAGGGCTGACTCATTGCTCACCTCAGGTGGTCAATCAGAGGTTCAGGCTGTGTTTCAGCAGTTCCCATACACCTATCATGTTAAGAATGTCTGTATTCATGCCTGATAGAGATTAAAGATGGTAAAGCATCATTTTCAAATTTTGGATTTGTGGAAACATGTTTGTTAATTCACTGACAATCCTGAAGGAGTACAGGAGGATTTCACTCAACTGTGCTCTTCCTGATATTAAATAAATAAATGTTGCTAAAACAGTGATCTGTTGAATTAATTTTCTTTAGTTTTACAATAAATCCGTCCCTCAGATAATACGGTAGAGGGTGTCTAAAATTCTTTAAATAGAGGGTTTGTGTTCAGGACTAGAAAGCAGGTGAGTTGGGTTATCTGTCTGCAGGGAATTGTCAATCTGTCTGTAGGGAATTTATTTCAGCTTGTTTTTGTTGTACAGCAGCATTGTGAAGCTAAGTTAGTGCTTTAATTTTTGTTATTGCAGGACCAAAGGGCTTTCAGATGTTTATGTCTAGTGGTAACTCGTATCATAAACACTTGCTTCCAGCATCATGACTACACAGACTGAGTAAGCCTGCAGTCCAGCAAGGTCCCTCAGACTTGGTGCTTCTCCACATGCCACACAAGTATGTTTGCATAGGTAAGAAAAATGCCTAATTTATGAAAAGTATTTTGGTTCATCATATTTGCAAAAGCAGTTGACATTCAGATTCCTTTGCAAGAAGAGTTGTAACGTTGTCCTTTCTGAAAATCTTGTCCACGGTGTCTCAAGTTGATAGCATGGGCATGAAAACATCTGCAGTTAGCAACAGGATTGTTTCCTACTTCTGTGTGATTCTTTTGGTCTGCATGAACAACATGAATAAATATTGTTAAATATAAGGAGATCTAAATAAATAGAAATATATGCATACTGATATGTATCACAAGTGGTGTTTGTGTAATGAATTGATTGCTCTGAGATCCTTGCCTGAGCATTTCTGACACAAATGACAACTTGGTGCTGACTGTTGGGACACGTGAAGGTGTCCTTTGCTGAATGCTTACAACCAGAACATCTAGGAATGAAAGATATTCTTGGAAATCTAGGCAACAGGATTTGCTCAAAAATCTATGGCAAATGCATGACCACAACCTGTACCTCAGCCTGTTTCTGACTTGTGAGCTGAACTGGCAGGTGCCTTGTTCCAACAAGCCAGCCACAGTACAGGTGTATTTTAAATCACTGTGTTGAGTCATTCTCATTTAAATGTAGGCTAAACCACCTGAGAGTACTGTCCTTGCTAACCTCCACAAACTCACTGTGAAGTTTTCTCTCTACAGAGCAGACAAAGCCCACCGGCTTCATCCCTCATCTGAGCCACAGCCAGGCAGCTATTGCCTATTTGCGGCATCACAACATATGATTACAGAGGGAAGGTTGTGAGTGTTTGCTTGCAAGGCCTGTTCATTTAAACAGGAAAAATGATCGTCTCAAACAGAATCACGCTTGTTCTACTCCATCTTGCCTTCCAAAATTTGAAAGCTGAAAAGTAATCTTTTAAGTGGTTGTGGTTTTTTTTTAGCCAAAGGGTTTTCTTTTATTTAATTTCTATACATATGCATTTTCCAGTATACATGCTGGAATAGCATCCGTTTGATTTCCTGTTATTGTACATAAGTCTACGTTTTTTGTCAGTGCTTTGTTTTAAACAAAACAGAGGAACATATAGCAAGTTTGTCCTGAATTAATGGCTTCCTGACATTTGATGAAATTCTTTATACCAACCCCACTTTTCCATATTTCCTTTCTGGATTTCTTTTCTTTTGGCAGCTGGCATGCAGCATTTAGATCCTATCTGGTAGCTAGAGCAAAAAGAGTCCCAACATGTAGAACTACCTTTTAGAGCACTAAGTACTACCTAGACTTCAACTTTAAAAACCTGGAAAAATCCCACACCCAGGTGAAAGGATGTATGATGTACATTATAGGCCTACTGTTATGGGCGTTTATTTAAATACTGCATAAAACTCAATGGAGACTTTCAGAATTATTTCTGTTCAAACTCTACAGTCCTGTGGGGAACGCAGAGGTTAGCAATGACACATCAAACACTGCATCCTATACTGCCTTGATAGGACTAGAAAGTTAGATCAGGGAAGTACTGGGTACCTATCGAAGTTCTGAAATCAAAAGGCACCTTTTCTAAGTGGGGGGAAAGTACACATTCACAGGCTGCTGTATGCTTTGTCATTTTCATAAAAGAAAACTATAGGCAATCTGTGCTAATGCACCTATCCTCTACTCAAAGTTGCTTTCTTCGATGATTGTTTGGAGTCACTGCTCAATGAGTGGAGGCTCTGCTGAGTGGGGAAGAAAACACCAGAACCAGCCTTTCCAAAGATAAAATTGAAAAAAAGCAAATGTGCAAAAGAAAAAAAAAAAAAAAAAAAAAAAGCTCCTTTTACCTGATACTAAACATGTATCCAATCTTGTTTTGAATTGATCTGGAGAAAATGGTAGTTGGCAATGACTCTCAATATATGATCAATCATTTTGCTTTTTTATATGTAGGTGAAAGACACAACCTGCCAGAGTGGAATTCATGTACCTTATGAAATATTTAAGACACCTGTAGTGAGATTATTTTTCCTCTTTTAATTTGAAGAACCTGCATTTCTCAGTTCTTAGCCATTTTTCTGGGGGTAACGTGTGCCAAATAACTGGCAGTCTGGCACAACAGCACTTATATTCCAAGTATTATGAAAGATAGATAACAAGAAGCCTGTTGCTTTTCTTTTCAGGGGAACTGAACAACAAATCTTATATGGCATCAGTAGGTACAGATATAAACCTCTCTCCACTGTTATTCTCTGCTTCTGTGACATGAAGTTAAGGCCCAAATCCTACAAAATATTTAACAGGAAAAATCTCACAGCCCAGAAGCTTTTCCCAAGGCAATATTTGCATACAATTTGTTGCAAGATTAGGATCAGAGGCTTTTTTCTCCCTATTTTTCTACCTCACTGGGTATTTTGGAGTTGCTATGTTTTTCCGTTTACACTGTTTTGACTAGAGTCAAAATTGTTGTCAAATTTTAAGTCAGTGTCTACTTTACTAATTGATGGGCTGCCAAAGATCAGCCATGGAGAGTTAGACTGCAGAGCAAGAATCTGGCTCAAAGAAGAAGTGATTACATAAAATATGTAAGGACCAAAGCCTGTAAGACTGATTCATACTGTAAATGATTTGACCAAGAGTACAAGGCTGTGATACATTCACAGTAAAAATATGGCACCTGGTTACAGTGTCTGGCTTCCACTTCTTCCATCCAACTTTAGCTGTCCTCCTTTTGCAGATATCAAAGCATTTTATAAATACCAGTCAAGCAGAATAAAATCTGCTCCTTTCAAATATTTAGTTACTGTCTACCAGTGCTTTATAATACAGAGGACATACCTCTGCTCTCCTGGAACATGGCAGGAAGCAGAAGTTTCTCTTTTGAAGGTAATGGAGTTCCTCTGCATCTGACTTCCAAGCAGTGTCTAACCTAGCTATATATTTTAATCTAACAGTAGGATTTTTACTTCAGAATTTGTTTTCATTCTGAATCTGAGAAAGTGGACACACTGTAGATATCTTGTAAAAAATCTGTATAACCATGCTTGTCATCAACATTTTAAATAGTAGCACCAATATTGCAGTACTTACTTTACCATTATATTGAAAACAAAAGCAACTGAAATGAGAGTCAGCATGAAATGTTTTCCTCTTATCAATGTAAACAAGAATACTGATATAATGCATTTCTGCTCTCTGCCTTTTAAAATGGCATTGAAAACAACATAATCTCACAATAAATTTTGGATTTCACTCAACTTTCCAACTGGGAAGTGTAAAGACAAATATTTCAGGATTGGTCCTACTTGGTGGTGCTTTGCAAATGCTCTCTATTAACCTAAATGACTGCATAAGTTGGAGGAAAATGGTAAACCTGGCCCTCTGAGAGCAAAGGAGCATGTGGTACATGTTAATGGGTATCAATTCACATATACTTGGTTAGAGAGATCTGTGGCAGCTCAGAGCGTTTCACTGTGTCCAATTTCTTCTTGCATAAATAAAGAAGAGCATGAATACTTGAAAAGATGAAGGTTTCTCTGGAGCCGAAGAGCCAGCACTACTACAAAGAAATTCTTGTGCCTCTTTAATTACCCTCCTTTGCCCACAGGTGGAATTTCCACTCTGCCAGCCCCAGCAAGCAGACTGCTAGCCTGGGAAGAGATGTCTGTTTGTCTTTGTACAGCAAACACTGGCTATGTTGTGCAGCTCAAGTTTCTGATTCGAACGATTTCCTGAATTCATTCTGCTTCATACCTCAGGGAAGGAAAAGGTGATCCTCTTGAAAATTCATATAATTGCTTTTATTTGATTTTTATTAAACCTCATTCAAGAATAATATGATGGCTTTCTTTATTACATTGTTCATCACTGTGGCATTTTTGAATTTACTTTGCTAAAAGAAGCAGTTTACTAAGCCAAGGATTGAATTGAAGGATTTTTACAGAGAGAAGGCTGGGAGCTTTTTTAAGTTCTTTTGATTTCAAAGACTTTTGTAACATCGATACCCATCTAAGATTGTCTCTGTTTTCATTCGCAAGTAGCCTGAGCACCTCTCCAGGCCTGAGCAGCCAGGCCATTCTGCAGCGTGCCATGTGTGTGTGCTGGGATACAGCAGGGCCAGCTGTGCCCCAGCTTCAACCCAGTTCGGCCTGAGTGCTAGGGAGCTGCCAGAGAACACAACCCACTCCATGCCAGCCGTCCCACTGCCTGCTGAGGCTGCCTCTTGCTGCCATGCTGATAGCAATGGACAAAGGGAAGGCTACAGCTGTAGT